ACTCCAAAATTGGTACCACATGCATGTGCATAGTCGAGTCGCATGTCGCGTCGTTATGTTGGTCGTATATCATTGTTGTATGCGTGAGATATGGGTTTTCTTGCAAATTATTATCGACAATGTTTGTAAATTTACGAAGATTATAACGCTGTGATATGATTCTGACATGATTTCTATCAGGCCTTATGTTATAATGTTGATATCTCACCCTTTACATTGTATGTTACCTCCGTTGGTGGTAATTTGCAGGTAACTCAGAATAAAGGGTCGTTTCCGTTTAAGGTGTCATCGGTCGCTATGATACATAGCACTCTTGGGGGGATGAACGTTTAATTCTATTGTTTTTAGTTGATTCCCTTGTTGCTGATTTTTATGGTCGAACTAGTTATTTTCGTGAATTTATGCAAGATTATTGCTTGCTGAATTTTAGTGGAGTTCAGATGTAAAACATTATTTGCCTTGTTTTCGCTGACTATGAGTTGTTTGAAAGCTTATTACATTCCGCTGCAAAATGACATGCTGTCTTACATTTAAAATATTAAGCTGAGAATTGTTGTCGGTTCATCCTAATTTGTGCTATGTATGTTAGTAAATGAATTTAGCAGTTGTACGGTTGTCCTTTAAGTTGCAAATGTGACATCTCTAGTTGATGCACTCTGATTTACTTAATTATCTGTTTGGATAGAAAAGGGGTGTTACATAATGGCTCTTGCTCGTGGTTGACATTGTCATCGTTTACCATTTGATCAACCAATATTTCATCTTCTTCTTCTTCCTCATCAACAACATCAACTTCGGTTTGTTCGTTGTTGTCAGTTTCGTAAAAAACCTGTGACGAATCAACGATTTAAGAAAACTAATTTTATTGTAGTAAAATATATAACTCAATATCGTTGAACCCAAAATGTTCATGAATGAGAAACATATTTAGAACGTCTTCATCATCTCGGACCTTTAGCTTAAAAAACTTGACTTGGTTGTTGGCAAAAATAACTAGATTTTTGTAGACGAGTTGTGCCACCGGACCACAATGTAGCTTATTTTCTATTTTCTCTTTCAAATGTGAAAATTTTGGTTGTCTATTTATTGTAAATCGAGTAGCATCGGTATTACTAAAATTAAAATCAGATAAGTTACATTCAAATATCTCACCATTGATGTGAGCGTTATGCTTTATTTTCTACACATAGGCGCCATATCCAATGGCTTGTCATGTGTTTGCATGCATGTCACCCTAAGTCTAGTTCACATAGCCTTCCAGTCAGCCACGTAGGCTTGCATGCATGGCCCTATGAGTAACCACTTTGACCGGCGCGTGCTTACAAAACATAACACATGCGCCATTGTCTATGGTGTATTAGTTATAGGTTCCATGCAAAATTGATTCACATGAATGCATTGTCCCATCTATAAATACGGGTACATAACTCATCTTTTCCATCAAACACACTCAACATATACACTTTTCCAGCAACAATCTTTCAGAAGCATTCCAAAAAATGACTCTATTAACCATAGGTGAGACACATCGAGGAATTATCAACAGTATTACGGAGTTTGTAAGTTATTATTTTGAATGTATTACAAAATTTCTCGTTAATACTTTTCCTTAATTATTATTTGTTAGGATCCAAAGAGATTTTGCTTTCGTGTACATGAATATGTACCACACGACGAATTAATAAAACTATATTTATGAGCAAGTGGTTTTGGTCATTTACTCAACATTGTCTCATACTCTACTGATTACAAATTTATTCTCGCTTTGATAGAAAGATGGAGATTCAAGACACACACATTTCACCTTCTGTTCGATGAATGTACCGTCATAATAGAGGATGTGTACATGTTATTGGATATACCTATCGAATGTATGATTGTTAATGGTAGAGTTAACCAAGATAACACAATATGCGGAGAACTTTTGGGTGTCCCTTTGTGTGAAGATACAATAAGGGACCAAGGTATTAATCTACATCATCTTAAACAACACTATTCAAGTATAATATTAACTGAAGATTCGACTGAGTATGAAAAAGTAATTAAAACACGGTGCTAAATTATGATACTTGTGAGATGTTGGATCAAACTCTAGTGTTGTCGAAGTCTGTTCACAAGTAATGCGTGTTGTAGTCGAAGTTTGTTCTAACATGCATTAGTCAATATTGCTAGGGTTGTTAGCATGTTGAATTGGGTCTTGCTTGTAAGTACAATTGTTTAAGTTAGCTTGTACCCTAAGTTGGCTTGTAATGGGTAATTGTTAAAAAGCCCATTAGGTTAGTGTGCTATTTTATTATAAATAGGATGCTAGTTTCTCAATCTTGGAATAAGGAAAAATAGGAAGATAAAATCCTAATTTCAAGGGAGAGAGGTTATTTTGTTATTCTTGTATACTTGTAATCTTGTTCTAAGAGAAAGGAAAGAATAGAAGTTTAATAACCAATCCTTGTTGTTCCTTGTTGCTTTCTTCTTTATTAACCCTAACCCTTGTGTGTTTCTTGATAAGAAACCGTTTATACTTTGTTTAACGGTATCCGATTCACAACAAATTGGTGCGGTGAGCGTGGAAAAGATGTCTTCAACAAAGTATGAGATTGAAAAGTTCACCGGAGTGAACGACTTCGGTCTGTGGCACTTGAAGATGAAAGCCCTGTTGGTTCAGCAGGGTTGTTTGGAAGCGTTGAAGGGTGAGGCAGCCATGGACGCTGCGTTAACGGAAAAAGAAAAGACGTTGCCCAATTGCAAGTTTTTCCACTGTATGCAGTTAATAAAGCTGCATGAAGAAAGCTAGTTTCTTGATGTTATAGAGTTAGATCCAAGGTGGAGATTTGTGAGATGTTGGATCGAACTCTAGTGTTGTCGAAGTCTGTTCACAAGTAATGCGTGTTGTAGTCGAAGTTTGTTCTAACATGCATTAGTCAATATTGCTAGGGTTGTTAGCATGTTGAATTGGGTCTTGCTTGTAAGCCCAATTGTTTAAGTTAGCTTGTACCCTAAGTTGGCTTGTAATGGGTAATTGTTAAAAAGCCCATTAGGTTAGTGTGCTATTTTATTATAAATAGGATGCTAGTTTCTCAATCTTGGAATAAGGAAAAATAGGAAGATAAAATCATAATTTCAAGGGAGAGAGGTTATTTTGTTATTCTTGTATACTTGTAATCTTGTTCTAAGAGAAAGGAAAGAATAGCAGTTTAATAACCAATCCTTGTTGTTCCTTGTTGTTTTACCTTGTCTTCTTTGTTAACCCTAACCCTTGTGTGTTTCTTGATCATTAAGAAACCGTTTATACTTTGTTTAAAGGTATTCGATTCACAACAATACTGTTTGGTAATTTTTATTTCTTGAAACTACTGGTAATACGATAAATATTATGTATTTGATTATGAAACGTAAATAAAATTGGGACATATAGTCGGGGGTTAGCTGTTTTATTCCATCTATATAATTCTTTGTGTAAAAATGCACAAAGGGGTACTTTTCGTTTTAGTCTTGCGCTTTTTTGCTCCAAGCATGAAGTTGGTCGAGAATGTCATCATTATCCCCGTCAACGAGAACAACTTCACATTTCCTTTCACAACAAAGTAAGTTTATCTTATTTTTTACACTTGCTTACTTTATAATACAACTAATTGTAAATAATTTATTTTCACTATTTTTGTTTCAGGTGGTCTGTTCTAGGGAAGAACTACAACAAATGTCCCAAACACGGTATAATAGTTTATCGAAATCTTATAAACCACCTTGGATCAAACAATGTGTTACAACTAAACAACTCATTAGAATTTAAATTTAGTTTTAATATTACCAATTTACAAATTTTTTAATAATGTTTTTTTTTCTATATAGTTTATCTAAAGGTCGCATTTGGATCTCAACCATGAGGTTAATTCCAACGATATTGCAGTTTGGACAAAAAAACACCAATCATCAGGTTCATTATTGTGGAGATGCACTAGAATTAAATGAATTAGTATAGGTCGGTTACAACGACACAATTTGTGTCTGACCCAAGATATTTGATCAACCCACGCAAACGAGTTTCGTCATCATACGCCTAACAACAAACCTCCGGCCAACAACCAACTCCACCATTACCAAAACCAACAACAATGTCATAAAGTCACTTAATTTTGAAGCTCTTTCAACTAGTTTTTTATAAATCATATTTGAGATATAACTTTTTGAAAAAATTATGATTTTGACTATACTTAAACTTTGATAATGTATCTTTATGTTACATGATGTCAAAATTAATCTTTTAATTTATAAAAAATAAATATAAAAAAATTGTAATATTTTAAAAATCTATTTTTAAAAAAACAAAGAAAAAATTATTTTAAAAAAAATTAAAACAAAAGGGCCCATAAATATAAATAAAATATTGTTAAATTTGGGTTCTATATTTTTGTAATTGAAACTTTTATTAATTATTTGGTTTATAACCTGTATCTTTAATTGCAAGTAACTTGTATCTATAGTTGAACTTAAATTTCAATCTTCCTAAATCTTTTAATAAATTATATAACTATATTATCTTATATCACAATATTACATTACAAATCTCTTAATAAATTTTTATTTATACTAACAAAAACACAATTTTTTTTCTTTTTGAATTGGATGTGGCTCGAGAAGGGTTGATAAAATACACACAAACAGTTTGCTATTAAAGAATTTGATAATTTGGTATAAAGCACAAATTCTATATTATAAATCTATATTAAAATACAGGACAGATATTTTGCTAAAATTGCTTTACATATAAATCATTTCTTCCAACTTCCACTTCCTAATGCTCACTTAAGACATCAAACTGCTGGCTGCTGGACTTGGAAAGGCCGCAATACACTCTTTTAACACATTTCTTTTGGTCCAAACAAACACACTTCACACCACAACACATTTGGGCACCAACAGAATATGAAGAGATTCATGAATTTAAATCAATCTTGAAAAAATAAGGGAGTAAAAAATATGTCCAACTTATTCGATCTTCCAAACTAAATTAGGAGTACAATGAGAAAGATGACCAGCACCGCAACAAAAATTAAAAGCACCCACCAACACTGCAATGTAGAAAAAGTTAAATTGAAGTTATATATCAAAAGGGTCTACTTACTTGCTAGTGATTATATCAGAGAAGTTCAACTGAAGTTATAAAATAGAATTTAAATAGGATGCATGTTAAATAAACTCAGATTCTCTAAAAGTTCATATTAGATCTCAAAAGAGAACTTGATTTCATTGATCTATTAGCTTATTAGTCTATTAACAAAAGGTTAGAGCGGACTTTAAAAATAGGTCTATAACATGTAAGAGGTCAGTCTATTAACAAATCGTTAGTTTGCAATCTTTATGACTCACCCATTTATTTTTGGATTTCACACTTTTGGAAGCTTTGGCTAGCTGGACCTTACCTTGAGCTGTTGCACCAGCAGAAGTATCTATATTTGATTGAATGTCATCTGCCAGAATGTCACAAACAAAATATGAATAAAAGGAATAGCTAAATTTTATTATGTAGAAATCTATATTTATTCTATTATGTAGAACGGTAATTTTATTTACCAATAACAATCCCTTGATCATGAACCAAAACAGCAAGGTCTTTGAATATTTCATTTGCTTCTCCAATTTGCTCTTCTATCTCTCTAAGACCTTGATCTCTTTCTTCAATCATGGCCTCATTGAAGGATATTTCATTATCCAATAGAACTATCTCTTGCCTGCAGTTTTATTTCAGTGATCAAGCAAATCAGACTATAAAATATCATCTCACAAATCTTTCTGGAAAAAACAATAGTTAAATAAGCCAATAATAAGCTATGCATCTTTGTATTACAAAGATACAAATTGTTTACAATTTTACAAATAATAATAAGATTGAAGATTGAATAGAATTTAGTTGGTCCGGGGAAATAGCTGAAACGTTGCAGACTAACCTCATCTGCCCTCTGATAAAAGGTTGGCTTTCGGGGTCTATCTCAATCGATTCTTGACCAGGGCCAGAGCTGCTTACAAACACACATATGATATAGGAGAGATCAATATTTGTTAATGAAGATAAATAAGGTAATCTGAAGGAGAATCAGATAAAAAAAAGTAGGTATAATATGATGTTCATAGTCCCTATAAAATCACCACTCATCAACATTTGTCTCTAAATATCAAATGCCGAGTTTCTGTCGAGATCAAAGAAATTAAAAATGAACGATGATTTTACAGGAACTAAACTTGAAAGGACATGAATTTTTATGGAATAAAAACATTTTTTATCCCCAATTTAATTTACTTATGTACAAAGAATGGTTGACCTTGTTGGTAAGTTAGAAGCAGAGGCAGCCGGAGTGTAAGTTGATTCCCGCTCAGAAGCAAGCTGTTGAACTTTCTGGAATTCTTGCAATGTGGTTTGGAAATCTCTCGCCAACTTAGCATCTTCAATTTTCTTATTAGTCTGCTTAATCAAAGTGCAATTTTCTTATTAGTCTGCTTAATCAAAGTGCAACAATGTAGGCATAAAAATAACCAACATTCAACTTTAGCTGGCAATCCTAATTTTCAATCATGAAAAAGATACAACAAATTCTACCACTAAACAAATCCGAATAGAGCAGCAACCTAATCCGCGACTAGACCGGTAATTTCTTCAATGACAATTTTTCAAAACCGTAAAACAAGGCGATATGATGAATTTGTGTAATCAAAATTCAAAGTCACTCATGAATCATAAAAAAATAATACAAAAAAAAAGAGAAATTAACAAAGCATACATTGGCATTAGCATCACGATTAGATTCAGGCAAAGCTTTGAGTTTCGCAGAAGTATCCTTCACAAGCTGCAATATCCTCTGTCTCGTATTGTGCCTACAAACCATACCAGAGTGATGATAGAATAAAATTAAACAAAGCTAAAAAAAAGTAAACTAGAACAAGTAACCTAAAATTAGAGATGCGAAGTTACAGTTTCTGACGGTGCTCTGGAGTATCTTTAACGGTTCCAACGGAGTCAACGAGTCGCCGGAAAGTACCGACGGCGGTGTTGATCTGAAAAATTCCGGCAGCAACGGCTTGCGACGGTGACTGGGTTCGACGAGAAGGAGGATTGGAACCACTTTGAATATCTTGAAAACTCATGGCTGAAGTGATCTTCTAAACTCAAGTATGAAATGAAATGAAAGTAAATGAAAACGCGAAATGTGAATTATTGTGGAATGAATTGAGCACTCAAAGTAACGACTAAGCACTGTCCAGTCCTTAAGCACTGTCCAGTCCCCACACCCACCTGTCTTTGGATCATAAAATAATTCGAAATTATTTGTATAAAAGTGGATTGAGAAAAAAAAAAAATTTTCTAATTATATATTTTCTTGATATTTTGGATTGAGAAATAATTAACCAAATCCATCGGGGCTATATATAATATGATACACCAATTAACAAAGCGCCTACAAACTACAAAGACTCATGGTAGATTTTTTTTAAGTAGAGAAGATTTAGGTTTTTTTATGACTGTCACAAAAAAAAATCATTTATTAGATGGACTCTTATTTAAATAAATATAAAAATTTATTATTATTATTATATTATATTTTACATTTTAGATTGTATTAATTTATATATTAATTATTAATATAATTAAGATTATATCGAAAGAGCAAACACACAGGTAATAAGTTGTGTCGATATCCTTTTTTAAGTGACAAAATCAATCTTCTTATCATTGTCTTAGGAGACACAATATTGTTATGCATGAACCTTTGTATTTTCTGTAAAAGATCAAATGCATCTGATGTTAGAAAAATTAAAAGTGTCAAAGGTAAATGATATGAAAACATGTTAATTGTCGGAACATGTTTTCTCATGCTTGGCCACTTTACTTAAAGCGGATTTGAGAGTTGTCTTTTCCCACAGTAAATCTTCTGGTCCTCATCCCCGCCAGTGGGAAAACCACAGTCAAGTTTACACATGCATGTTTCCGTTCTACCCACCTGTATACCAGAACATCTGCTAGCCTAAGTGTCGATCTCCCCTCTCACGAGTCAGTCTAGAAATTCACAGGTGATTATTTCTTCACCAATACCCCGACATGCATAAATATATCAAATAAGACATCTTTAACAAAGTCATGTTGTTATTTGAACATAAAAGCTACTTACAATGAATGATGTGCTCATTTCAAACTTTACATTCATGTCCTGAACACTTTTACTAAAAACGGAACTTGCCAAAACATGTTGCGCTTTAGGAGAGACGATGTCCTTTCTAGTAAAACCCCTAAGGTAAAAATCTACAATCACAACACTAAGACCATTCAAATCTTTGTTTAAATCAAGGTTCATAACACATATCCCACTGTCTCTTAAAATATGATCTTGTAACACCCAATATTGAGCCCTAGAAGCCACAAATGCGTATAAGGCATCCTCTACTACCGAATACAAACTCAATCCCCCAAATCTAATAGTTAAAAAAGCAACCTCCATTGAAGGTCCCCGGAGTAAAAACCTTCACCAACCACGATATCTTTAACCGCCATTTGTAATTCTTTATCAAACCAAATAACTACTTTCTCCATATGATTAGATTGACATGTTCTAAGGCAAAAGAAAAGTTTGGCGATACCCACACAAGAACGAAGTAAAAGAAGCTCACTTTGATGATCCCTTAATTATGGCAGAAGATGAATTAACTCAATAGTCCTGATCGCTCTCTTCATGGACAACCCCTCGATAAAACATTCATCTCGACTAACAACCCTTCCAAACAACTTCATCCCCGACATTGGCCTCCCAATATCTGAAGGAAACAACTCCTTGCGAAGTTTAGTACCATACACAAAGGCAAACATTTTTTTTAAGAATATTCAATTTGATACCTAATCTTGGACTGAACTTCCGAATGATGTCAATGGCTTTAGCCATTTCTAAATCCCATATGATGGTCCCATAATCAAGATACCAATCATGAAGAAGAATCTTATAATTGTTGATAATTTGATGAATAAGTGCGTGTAACACAAGAGAAAAAAGGAGTGGCCCTAACGAGTCACTTTTTTACACTCTAGTGGTTGACATAATATGACTATCCTCGAGGTATAACGTTGTCGCCTGACCATAGAGAAACTCAACCACAAGGAAATAGATGAGTATCTCACATGCATCTATCGTAGTATGACTAAATAATCTACCAAGTTAAAAGCATTTGTGAAATCTATTGTGAGTATAGACAAAGATCCATCTTCATGTCGCTTGTTTAACACCTGTTGTAACTGGGCAAAATGGCTTCAACACGACCCGATACCCCAACCACAATTCGAAAGTCATTAATATATTGTGTCACATCTTTACTGATCCATTTCATTACAATCCTGGATACCAACCATCTCCAAATAGAACCCACAACAATTGGTCATACCCCGCATCAGACTTTAATAGCGGCGTCTAGGGTGCAGAGGCAACAAACTCTGCCAAACTCATCGAGCATCTCACTCTCAGCCATAAGTTAACAACTAGAGTAATTTCATATAAGAGATCTCTAGACATAAAGAACCTTCTCCACATAGGGCATCCGATAAATGTTACGTTCGCAAACCATCTCTACCACATGAAGTTCCTTTGAAGAATGACTTAATGCACTTAAAGAATTTATTAAAAAATTAAAAAACATTATGAATAATTTTATGAGTTATTTTCATAAGTTCTATCAAATAAATACTTAAAAAACTTATGTTATTAGATATGTATGGATAAGTCAATGCAAATTTATATTTAGTCTCATTAATCTTTTGAGTCTGTTTAAACATTAATACACTCTTAAATAATTTGATAGACCAACCAAACATTCGAAAAGATAATATTAAGGCATAAAAATAAGTTTATAACATACTACAAGCTATAGATTAGCTTTAAACTTTTTTTAGTAGATCTAACAAGTTTGGTAATAGTTTTAAAACTCACTCAAATAAAATTCAAATTTTGGTAATGAACTCTATATAATAATATTGAATATTCATGGCTACAATGATATATTACAATTATAAAAAATTTCTCTATTAAAAGATGGATTTGGAGTAGAAACTTACGTCCTGACTATCCGCTCTGCACTCATATTTTAAAATAGTATAAAATTCAAATTTAAATTAAATAAAAATGGATTTTCTATGTCATACTCGGAGTGGATTCGAATATGTACTAATTAATACGGGTTTCGTTACCATATTTTATTTTTGTGGCAACTAATCACTCCATTTTTAAAAATTGGATAGTGTACGTCCAACCAATTATTTAATATCAATTTTTTATGATGGTAGATAAGAATTTCTTATTTTTATTCAAGTAATAAACTTTTTAAAGCGTTTTTTGCTCCTTATTCATGAGTATAATGTTTATCTTTTGTTTATTTCTATATAAGAAGCAGAGTAGGGATCTCAATGAGTATAGATACTAATCATCCTCTATCTCATAGTTTAATAAATATCATATTCGTATCCATCTTATATTCTTGAAGATATTCATTTGATGAATATTCGTAAATTTTGAGATGTTCACGAGTATTTACAAATATATTTAAATTTTATTATTTAAATATTTTTTATTTTTAGACACAAAAGAGTAATTTCAATTTTAACACAATAAAAAAAATCACATTCATTGTATTTCCTCTATCAAATATTGTTACTAGGTTTCACAAAATAATAATAATTTCAAATTTAACAAGTGACTGTGCTTATTTTTAAGTCAATAGTTTTTTTTAATGCCGTGAGAGAATACTTTGTATATTCTTTCCTTTGTCGGTATTAATAATACAAAAAACAAAAGTAGTTGTAGTTTCTTATTTTGAAGCGTAGTAGTTGTACTGTACTAGTTAGTTAGTAGAAACAGGAAAATGAATTTCGTTAGTATTTTAAGTTGTCCTCGTCTAACGTGTTCCTCGTGGCAGTGTTCTCGAGTTCATTCCTTTATTTATTTATTTATTTATGAGGATGGAATGGGGATGGGAATGTGGCATAGTAGGTAGCTCCTCCCCCTTTTTTTCTTTGTTCTTTTCATGTATACATACAAAATTTTTACAAGGATTTTAAATCTGCCCTGTGATTGTAAATAGTTCAACAATAAAAAATCATTGATAGTGAGTTGTTAAATATAATAATGAAATTGATAAAGAGTAAATAAAATATAACAACTCAATTGATATCATGCGTTTAAATATACAAATCAACTAGATACTTTTATATATATTGGGAAAAAGTCAAACTCAATAGAGCCTCACAAAAGTTTATATAGAGATAATGACTTAACCTCAAAATAAAAATTATAGAAAATTACACTTAACTTTTTTTTTTTTTTTTCATGTTTGTTAAATTGACACGTACACTCTATCTAATTTTAGGTTAAATGACTCGATAGACCAAGGACACCAATCTGGTCAACATAAATGCTGAAACCAACATGGTCGACATAAATGTTGAACCCGACTTGGCCAACACGAATATTGAACCCAACATTGATTGGGTCAGGCAAGAACCCCGGGAAATTGCTTTGCGTTTCGCCTTTGACAACTCAGATGCTTTTACCGTCGTTAAGGACAGAGAAGAAGGGGTCCCTGAAAGTTGGGAGACGTACAAACCCAAAGGAACGAATCGGATATGCTCGACATATGAGGGGAAATGCTTCCCCATGTATGAGTTTGCCTTCCGGAAGGCAGAGCTTCGTCTTTCATTCAGTGACTTCTAGGTGAGGATCTTCCAATGGCTGAAGTTGGCACCCTCTCAGCTTCACCCGAACGCGATCACATTTGTGCGGGCATTCGAGCTCATATGCCAACACCTTCATATTGGTTCCACACTCCCATTGTTCTTCCGCCTTTTCCACCTTCAGCGATAATTTTCGCACGGGCAACACAACTGGGTGTCCTTCGAGTAGGTGAAGAAGTTGTTTAGAACGTGCATGGACTCGGTCCATGCCTTCAAAGATAGATACTACCTCGTAAAACCTATGTCGGAGGCTGCTATCGATTCTGTGTTTAAACGCATGGTTGTGCTTGAGGATGGGCAGGAGGTGGTGGGCTAGAAGCGAAGTTTCCCCTCGAGCGGAAGAGGGCTCATTTTGATAAAGGGACAAATCATTACATTATGA